GCGGTCCCCATCCACTCCTGTTCTGAATACTTTATCAGTTCGTTGCGGCAAGGACGTTTGTTCGGGCCAGGCTGGAGGCTGTTTGGCCAAGGACCGCGGAAATTCTCGCGCGGGTAGTTTTGCGCCACTCTCCGGCCTTTGACGAGCAAAATGACTTTAATTAGGCAACTTGCTAACGACCTGCTGGCAACATAAATCACCGCTAAACCTGCCTCGGACAAAGACCTGACCCCCGTGTCGTTCCCGCCGGTTCTTTCGAACGAACGTCGCGTTTAGGCGCCGGTAGTTCGAGCCTAAGACTCGTGGAATCGATCATAACCCTTATATTTTAATATCTTTGCTTGTGCTATATGCTAGGTTGATATTAGATTTGTTTAAATTGCAAAAGCGATAGTTTCGTTTCGAGGAAACACGAGACCATTAAAGGGTTGAGATAATTTTAGCTGATCGGTCGCTATTGTTTCCATCGTTGCTTTATCAGTTCTACGGGCTAATTTTAGTATTCTAATTTTAGTGTTTAGCTGGCTATCAAGCTACGACTTTGTACTACCGAGGTCGTGAGATAACATGGAACATAACTTCTGTACTATTATTAAAAAGGCATGTTCTACCCTCCCCCCGTGTGAATCTTAATGTTCTTATTTGCTATTGATTATACGGTACGAATGGTAATGGGCAGATAAGCTCGAGCTTCTTAGAAAACAGCTTGTTTCTTAGAAAAACGGAGGAACAGAGTAAGAATCGTTTATTTCGCGTCTTGTAATTTTACTGTCGATAGAAAACGCGATTGCTTGGACGTAATTCCTGAAATTAATGTTAAATTATCAAGATGATACGCGCGTAGATGGTTCAGGAAGGGGATGAAGCGTTTTAGAGCCCAGGTAAATTGACCGATGATCGTACACCGTGCGTCGCGTGCTTAACGAGAGAAAAAAGATCGTTGTTACGCAATGTAAGCCGCTTTTACGTGTCATAATCGGTCACGCTCGCGACGCCAGTAATCGTGTTATTCGAAACACTTGCCGAGCACATTTTACATCCATCAGCGCACAGATTAGACGAAATTATTTGACGAAATCACGATCCGTGCGCCGGTTTATCGCGACCGATAAACGCCGCCTTATTATTAACATCCATTAAACTAAATTACTCGAAGTTAAGCTCGATCAAACGACAATAAGCGCCACGACCCAACGTCGATTCTCGATTCTTTCGCAGAAATATTGTTTTCAGCTTTGGAGAAAAGCACGTATCTCGTATTCCTTTGCTGTAACGTCGATCCACTGTGAAAGCTTGTTTCCTGAAACCGGTACGAATCCATTTTTCTCGCTTCCTTTGTCGCCGGTCTCGATCTCGATAAGATCGTGGTTTCGAGCACAACGCACGCGAAACGGCGCCACGATTTACACTCCCCCCCAAGTCGATCGTAACTTGCCCTAAGCGTCGGTCTCGCGGAACCGTGGAAATCGTTAATTCGCCCCTGGTTAATTGCGCCCGCCGTGACCCTTCGACTGCATTTTTTATCGTCCCCGAACCGCGATGCATCGCGATAATTTCCCGGCGTTCTCTCGATCGAGGCTCGCCCCGTAACACGCAAGAGTTTGAATACTTTATTCCAACGAATCGTCGGAACGGTACCGAGGATCACGACAGGTTGATAAATCGACGCGGACCCGCTGTTGATCACGGTGCCCGTATCCACGACGTGTTTACGATCGATTCTGTCAATACGCGTACCATCCGCTAATGTAATTGACTTTAGAGGGAACGATATCGTCGGGCCACGAGGATGCGTTGACACGCAATGCCCTCGAGTATCGCGTTTTAGCGGCATAAAATCGAGGACGAGATGGGGGCGGAGGGGTGGATCGCGTTTGGTCCTTGGGTAAAAGCGGAATCGCTCTGCACGGGTCCGCTTTTATTCGTCCCGGTATCCATTAAGGAATAGGATATACTTCTTTGTTACTTTTACGATTGTATTAGATCGTTCGGATCAGACGGTGGCCGCGGGGGGATGGAGCATGCTAACTCGATGCGTCCGCGGTGATACATCGGCGAAATTACGGATGCGAATCGATCGCGATTCGATTTGTCTCGTGGATTTACGTACCGTCGGATCGACATCAACGATTCCGCCAGCGTTTCGAATTAACTCCGCGGGGACGTTGCGTTCGTTTCTAAGATAATCCTTTTCCTCGGATCCAAGCTACCTTACGATTTGTCCAGAGATAAAATAACTTTAATATAATTCTACGTTTCGCTTTAAAATTTATTTATTTCAGGCTGGGCTAGCTTTTTAATAACGATCCCGCCAACGTCTCGAATTTGCTCCGCGGGGACGTCGCGTTCGTTTCCAAGATAATCCTTTCTCTCGGATCCAAAGCTACCTTACGATTTGCCCGGGGAGATAAAATAACTTTAATATAATTCTCCGTTAGATTTACTTCTCGATAATGGAGCATATTTATTTGACGTTTAGACCGCGGTGGAAAAATAGCTGATATAACGAAGATCGACAGTTTATTCTGTTAATCATGCAAACGTTGGAACTTGTCGTAGCAGTTTGACGAGGTTTTAATGTCAGAAGTTCTCGAAAACTGTTGCTAGTACCTTCGAACTCCGAAACGGAAGCTACGTTTTCGAATTTTTCACCATCGACGCGTTGAGTGCCGACTGAATTTTTCATGCCCTTTGATTAGCGCTGAACGTCCCTCAGGCGCCCCGGTTCATCCCCAAAATTTGATAAAATTCTATTCTCTCGGTATCAGAAACATTCGATACATTGCACACAATTTTCCAGTGGTCACCGGTGACCGTCGTGGCCTCAACTTTTTAAACCAAGTTCAGGGCATACCTCGACGCTTTTCCATGGAGATTAAAAAAGACCAAATCGATTTAAAAAAGGAATGCAATTTTCAGAGATACAGTTTTCCGTTGAACGTCCTCCGTATAGTTTCGTCGGTCAATAAAATTTTTTTTACCCGCTCCAATACTGCAGCGACGCGTTCCGAAAATTGGAAAATAATTGCTCGTGCAGTCCCGTTGCAATAAATTAACGCAGTTCGCGGCTCGTCCCTCGAAGGTGCCATTTCCCCCGTGGAATTTCATAGACATCTCGTCGTTCTTATTACCGGGCCGACGAAAGCTAAATATCAATTCCCGTCGTCGGGCATCCGTGTCGTAAAACGCGCGGGAACGTCCGCGGGAAATACCACCGCGTTATTTCCTCGTTACGGACGCCGTAAAAATGTCTCCCGCGGCGCGTCGCGGCCGTACGGAATCTCCGGTCAAATCACGCGACCGTCGCGATACCGATTTTCTCCACAGTCGTCAAAAATCGAACATGGGGACTCAAAGAAAATATCCTGCATCACGTAACCTCGAAAGATGCTCGTCGAAGTTGTTACGAGCATCGAAAAATATCAAAAACCCTTGTAAACGAACTTTACGTACCAACAAGACTCCAAGTTAAAATCTTTTTAAGTTTTGCACGCGAATCAAGAATCAAGCAAGAGTTTTCGGCTTTCAATAGTTGAAATTTCATAGTCAAGATTAAGGAACATTTTTTCTTTTATTTTTAGTTCAGAAATTTGGTATTAATATCCCAAATTCGAGGGACTCTCGTACAAATTAAAATCTTACTAATTTCAAATATTGTAGTTAATTTGGACTCTCAGATCAATTTATATTTTGCTATAAGAAGTCGTGCAGCATTTTTATTTACTAATTTATGAGTTCCACTGCGAGAGCAGCGTCGTAAAAAGACAAGCATCCTAATTTGTCTGGAATGCCTGAGCCCCGGGGGCGTCAAGACGCGTTCAAAATCGCGACGCCTGACGCAAATCCGTCGCGTACGCGTCCGTGCTCGAAACGACGGTGCGTGGGAGGGTGGACGTAATGGAATTTGACATTAGGATCGACGCTGGGGGTGCGGAAACGCCACCCTCGACGAAACGCAGACTTTTCGCGACGAAACGCAGAGGAAGGGGGGCTGGAATTTTTCAGGCATTCGACGGGATTTATTTAATGTCGCGTTCCGGGAGCGTCCTTTCTTATTATACGGGGACGCCATGATTCTTTCAGGGGAGATAGCGTTCGCGAGCGACCCGTAATAAGCTCGTATCGCCCCCCTCAAAAATGTTTCATATTCCAGAATGAAATCTAACGTCGCGTATTTACGAAAAAGAGGGACTCTTCGCTTCTCGTGGCAGGGAACCAGGAAGACCACGGCGTCCATTTTACGGGTCGAACGTGGACGGAATTTTCGCGTCTGATCCGCCGATGCCGGGGAATTTATTTCTGGGGGAATTGTGCAAATAACATTGACTCCGTTCCGAGAGAAAGAATCGAGAGGGAACGTCTTTGGCGATCAAATATGCTTGGTGTCGGGAAGAATCCTCGAGGACCCGAACCGCTATCGAAAAAAGGTGAGAAGGCTGCTCGTTCCGCAGCCTGATCTTCTGCAGATGGTGTCACCAGGTGGTGGAAAAATGCTGGTGACCTTCGAACGGGGTTATATCCGCCAGCTTCGGTCCTCTAAGCGTCTATTCCCTGAAATATAATCAATGGTTGACAGGTTCCATTTTCGAGGGACTCTCTTAACCCTTATCCTCCTGGAATTTCAGTTGGGGTCGTATTACAAATTTTAGATATTGTAATTAATTTGGACTCTCAGACCAATCGATGATCGACAGGTTTCATTTTCGAGGGACTCTCTTAACCCTTATCCTCCTGGAATTTCAGTCGGGGTAGTATTACAAATTTTAGATATTGTAATTATTTTGGACTCTCAGATCAATTTATATTTTGCTGTCAGATGTAAAATAATTTTACATTAGTCAAGAATGTTTCAAGGATCTATAATAACAATTTTACTCGAATTAGAAGTTTATAATGCGAGACTTTAATTTTATTTAGTTCAATTATGGGCAGACGATGGAAATTTGTCGTTTTTGTTCATTGGACAGCGTTTGAACGAATTTCTTGTGTCTTTTTCGCAGGTCATCCGAACGTTAAGTGCTACTTCGGCCATGGCGGGCTTCTGGGCTTGTCCGAAGGGACGTACCACGGGGTGCCGATGATATTGATGCCCCTGTACGGCGATCAGTATCAGAACTCAATGTCTGCCGCGGCCAGGGGGGTCGCACTGGTCTTGAAATACGTGGAATTGAGCGAGCAGTCGCTGAGGCACGCGTTGGACGAAATTTTCAACAATACCAGGTACATTTGTCCCTTTCGTTCGCGTGTTAGTACAGCGCCAATAGATTCGAAACACGAGGGATGGAAGCAGTGAAAGGGTTCCGACTCCCTCTGAATTAATTGTGTTCCCGCGACTTGTTTTACAAATATTGACTTTGCCAAAAGAATACGTACAGGGTTCTCAGGGGATTTCTCAAAGTTCTACGATTCGATGCTTTATTTTCCAGATAATTGAATTTGAAAATTTTGGGGTCTCTAACAGAGTCTCGTGGCCACTCTCGAATCGATCAAGTGTAGAAATATAAATACTGAGAGATGATTTCGTTGCAAGAGCGACGCAAGAAGCGGGGCGTCGCGACGGTATCGGTTCGAAAAACCGCGTTCGCCGCGGCCAAAGAAATGGAGAACACGGAAAGGGGTCGAAAGGAGAGGACAGGGGGGGGGGATCGTGGCAAAAAAAGGAAAGTCGTATAATCTGCCCGGATATTTGGTCCGTTGAATATCTCACGAACTGTCCGGGCGCTCGGATATCCGGGAAGTGCATCGTCGTTGCAGCACAGGCGGCTCCGTTAATCCGTAACGCGGCTCACTGGCGTTTTTCCACCCCTTTCCCTGCCCTTCTCCAGCCCTGTCACCCCTTGGCAACGCACCCTTGTCTCTTTTCACCGACACCACGGGTGGCGAATCCATGGCACGCGTGTCCGGAGCGACGCTTGACCGAATTTTAATTTAAATCCATTCCAAGCCACGAATTCCGGGAACACATCGTGTGCAAATCAATTATTATTACACGTGAAAAATTCAATTTTCTTCGATAGTCCGATCATCGGTGGTACCAGTTGCTCGCACTTGCCCGCGCCTAATCGATTTCAATATTTATTCCAGAATATCTCGCATTCGAAAAATCCCGGTGTACAAAATATGCAATTTTAGGAAAATGCAATCGGACTGTATCGACTTTTTCGCTCCACGCTTATTTCCAAAGCCTCCATCGAAAATGCAATCGCGTCCCCCCTGTCCTATCTACGCGTCGATGTTTTCTTTTAATTTATACAAAGCCGCGTTATATCTTCTTTCTGTAAATATCAGCCTCTATACTCTTCCCTATTATTATATTCCATACACCGTGAGGGGTCTACACCCCCCCAATTAATACGTTATTGGCGTCCCAAGAAAATGATACAAATCTGCCAATTGATTGAATTTAATGAAACTAAAATATTGCTTTCAATTTAAAGCAACACTTTAGGCCAGCGATTGCATTTTCCTCGTAATCTTTTCGAAATTCATTCCTCGTTTATCAACCCTCGTTCGCCGTTTCCCTGTTTCGTTCCCTTTCCTCGCGGTTCCTGAATTCCAGACGCGAAAGGTCCTCCAGGATGGTTTCCTCGTCCATCGACGAACACACCGCCGGCTTCGGTCTGTCTAGCCGCATCCGGGTCGGTCGCATGGGAAATTTCACGGCCGCTAAATGTTTCACGGCGCGGATCAACGCCGCGGCCCGATGATTACGAAGAGAGGCCGCCGGGCTGAAATTAAATTCTACATTATTCAATGCGGCCCACCGGATAACTTGTTAACCGCGCCACCCGCGTTCCTGCAATGCCTCGACGTTCGTCGTGTTTACGCGCTCCGCGGATCTCTGGCTCTTTCGCCTCGCGATAATTGCTCGTCCCTGAATATTTCAGGCCTCGACGCCCGGACACTTGCCACCCAACCCGCGTCGTCGCCCCCCCGGAATCACTGCCCCCAGTTTCCAAACGCCTTCAAAAACCTCCCTTAACGACTTTGATATAATTTACTACGATGATACACTCATTTATTTTCTGTATATACAGTGGGCCATTTCTTCTTTACGAGCTGTATTTTGATTAAACTTGGGAACTGAACAATATCGTTGGGCAGAATTCGAACCTTCTATATTACAAAGTGTCAGAGTTTCCCTTTGCTTCAAGAATTTAATAATATTTATTCCCTCACACGGCGACTTGCTCGATCAAGCACTTGTGAGAGAGAAAAGACGATCGTCGCCCTCTGTCGGTGAGCGTCTGAACTGTCGTCCACGCTCCTGCAAAAGAACTCTCGCATTTTCGACCGATTTCCGCGCAAGGAACGTCGCGATTCTCGTTGAATTATTGTGGAAATCGATGTCAGATTATATTAGGTTTAATTCAGAAAGATCTTCGTCTCGTTGGAAAGTGTACCTCCGTGTAACAGTGTCTCTCCCTTATTACCGGCGGCTTATGATTTAAGGGCGATTTAATTACGATGCGCCGGCACGCGAGTCACCGTGTCGAACGACGAAAGCTGCTTAATAAATCAGAACGGATAGGAAAGCGTTGGCAGTTCCGCGTTCGACGTAGCCTCGGTACCCGGTAATTACGACAGCCTAGGATTTACGAGCTCGTCTTGGACCTTCGACAGAACGTTGCTGGGTGGTGGGAGTGGATGCCGATCCGCCACCGCGACGTGGCTGTTGCGATTGTATCCCCCGTTACGCGACGCCTTGAATATTAATTAATAAATAGACGCGAGCGGCGTAATTGGACGATCGCGATTTGCATCATCGCGGTTACGTGATCGAAATATGGGAACGCGTGGTCCGGGGTCGTTTCCACAATTCCATCGTTTTACGAGAAATCAATTCCTCCACGCTCTTGCAATCCCTCGTCGTCTTTCCTCGCGAACTTTTTTTTAGTGGAAAGAAAGACGGTAAAACAAAGTTTCCTGCATTAAATTTATTAACACTTTTAGACAAAATTCCGGAGAATATCGGCACACGAAAGTTCTAAAATTGTTTTTCCCCAACTATATAATCCAGTTTTGGTTGAAAAACCTTTTCTCGAGCAAGGAAGGTTTTTGCTTCGAGGTGAACGGTTCGAGACCATTTTTTATTGGAAAGAGACCAATATAATCGCTTTGTTCTTTGATCAAGCGATGGTGCTTGGTGTCGAGTTCGCGTATATCGAACATCGGGGTAACGACGCGTTGAAATGCGAGAGGGGGATTGGCGTTAACCGATCTCGGGCGTTCGCGTGAGGCGGCGCAATTGTTAAACGCAACGTCTCATGCACGAGTGATATAAAATTAACGAACGATTTGGAAACAGCGTCGGGGTCTGCTCGTTGTCGTGCCGCGGGCTACCGTTGCGCCCGTAATCACCACTTCCCGTTGATTTATGGCGGTCGGTTCTTGCGTTCCAGGCTGGGGCCCCGGGTAAGAAAGTCGTCGCGGATAAGCGTGATAGGACCGTTTCGTACGGTGCACCGCGATACAGTAATACACTCGACGAAACGTCCGTAAGAATTGCTTTGCATAAAAGTGCCAAGAATTTCGATAACGATCTTAAAGAAATGATAAAAAAGGCGTCTCTATACCGGAGAACCGCTCCTTTGTCTTGGCGATAACGTCGAAAAGTATCACAGTTGATCGAGTCTAGCCCAGTTTGCAGGCATAAATTTCAATGCTTAAAACCTAAAGGGTAGTTCTCTTGGTCCGCCATTGTTATCGAGCGCGCCTTTGAGGATCTTGGATCTTTGTGGATTTTAAACAGTAGATTGTTGGAAAAATAAGTCGACCACCGTCGTGGACCCTGGTCCTTTGATGGCGGAAACGTTCGATGGGAAAACGCGAACGCAAACGATCGCGTGTGCCCTAAGGATCGAGGCAATACGACCAACAGGATCGCGAACCCCGGGGTCGAGCGGAGTCAAAGTGGCTGCCGTCTGTTCCCGTTCGTCGGTCGTGAAGCTTCACCCTTGGCGCTCGGGGTGATCAGTACGATCTTAAAATCGCCATAACCGAAGTTATATTATCGTCTGCGGTTCACGACTTCTTCGGGGAGAGAGACAGATGGCTCGGGAACGAGAGAGGCTCACGACCGGGGCGTACAGCTTGTTCGATTTCCTGATGGCCTCCTGGGTCCCGCGAGGCGACGTCAAGTGCCCATTCAATTCCCAAATATCTCTGCGCATGATTGCGCTTATAAGTCGGATTCGACTCGGGGGTCGTTCGAAACGCCATTAAACCCCGTACATCCGCTATTTAGAAATTCATTTTCCTCCGTGGACTCGCTGGAATATACCGTCCCGTAATTATTTAACGACGGTCGAACGCACCTTAGACGCCATTTTTGGCCTTTGGAAAATGGGTGGATGCATTTTCGAGAGAAATAGACGCGTTAAGAAATGCATTTCACTCTTTTTTTTTTAGGTATCTCGTTATCTTAATTTTTTAGATTTCACTAGTCTTCGTTCTTGGACATTTGTCTTATGAGTTCCCAAAGTTCCAGAATTTTTTGAGCATTCACAAGTATATCTCCTTGCCACCATGCTGAAAAGCTTGTGGAACGCTGGGAATTATTCAAGTACATCGTCGTCGAAGCAGTCGAACCTTACGTTCCCTTTTCTGCTCGCAGAACGACGATCATATCGCGTTGTACTTTCATGGAGAACCGTGCGATTCGAGGGTTCTAAGGGTCTGGCATAAACGTCGCGAGAATTTCGTCGAATTTTATCTGACCCCGGAGATACGTTCTCCCGCGGTTCGCGTTCCACCTTGGCCGTGTAATTATAATACATTATCCGGACGAGCTGGCGCTTCCGTAAAAAAAGTCGTCCCTCGTCCAGAATTACGGGCGAAGAAACACGATTTTCTGTGCAATTAGCGTACCTACTTCGGACTGCACGTACCCTCGTTAATTCGCCTCGGTTAAAGAACTGCCGGAGAAAGTCGTGTTTGATCACCTGTCCTCGCGCCGACAATCGTGCCAACCCTCGTCTCGTTCCTCGGGCTTCTTAGCGGTGCAACCGAATTCGGTGTCCGACTGCTTTGCAAGACGTTGTTGCCAAAAGGGTTGGCCAAAGTAACTGCCACGGTTAAGGGTTTGAGAAATTTCTTCGAAAACAAATTTAAAAAAAAAAATTTCTAGATCGTTCTGGAAAAATTATTGTCGATCGCAGGGGTCAATAACAATCATTTTGTGTCAACAGATATACCCCCGAAATCCTGCTCAGTTTCGA